GAAAAATAGAGAAATTTTAAGAAGATAAAAAAACTAGCTTGTAAGTTTTATTCATTTGTGAATATATAACCTTTTAAGGAAAAAAATCAAAACAGTGTTTCTTTTTTTCTCAAAAGCTGAAAGAGAAAAGGATTCTTTTTTTTTTGGCAGCTGTTGGCATTATTCATTTTGATATAGGGATATAAAGAGGTCATTTTGGATCCGGAATGGGGGCTTATATCAGCACCTTGTGATATGCCTAAAATACCCTGCAAAATTTAAACAGTGGAAACTGATGGAGGTATAATTGCAAATACCAAATTTGAACATACTTCAAATAAAATCAACAATATTAATGTTCAGACATTTTGTTCTTCCCTTCCTTTCTTACTCATCTAACTTTGAATATATTATGTGCACACTGACACACCTGTAATACCTACCTACCTATAAATGATTATTTTCATGCAATTCTGTCATTATTTCTTTATTATATCCTTCAAAAATATCATCACCATCATTACTACAACATATTACATAATTCATTAATTGCTAAGTGAAATTATATTTCAAGATAATATCTGTTGTTATTGGTGATTTTATTTGTAGTAATTTAAAGCAGGCAAAACAAATACTGTTATATATGTCAGACTATGTAATTGCCATTAAAAAGGGTATGGTATATCATTATGTCATTGAAACTGTATGGTATATCAATATTACTGTTTGTATGGTAGAGACTCTTACTTGTTGAGAAGGAAACTATCTCCTTCTACCTGATTATAATATTATGATTTATTAGACCATTTGTTTATAGAAGTGATTTATTTAACTTTAATTTTTGATGACTGGCAACTATCTACTCTAACCTTTATATGTAGGTAATAGTAAAATTTTCATGTTCTCATCAAATGAAATTGTGTCAGAGTTAAAATTCAGAGCAATATTTGAACAAAACATAAATCAAGTGTTTAGGAAAACATAATTATTAACTAAGTCAATACTTAACTTAATATGAATTCATTACTTATTGTAGTCTTGAATAAATTTTCTTATACATGTATTTTTAATACAAACTAACTTTTTGCAAATCTTTCATGTATGACTACTTGTTATTTAATAACTAAAGGAATTGAAGTATAAGTCCTCCATTTCACCATGACCTGTGACCTTGACAAGGTCATAGCTTGATATTTGAAAAGAAAACTTTTTGACTCATTTCTTTGATACAATTTAGGTGGAATTTTGCAATGTATTGTAAGTTAAAGTATAAAACTGAGTGGGTAACATATCAGACCAGTAATCTAACCTATGCTGTCAGCATAGGTTCGAACACTGTTAGGGGCAAGCTGTTGTTTCCTTGAGCAAGAAACTTCACACTCATTGCTCAGTACTGGTTAGTTCCAGGAACAGATTCCAGAGTGTGTCCATTAGCTTCATACACAATTAAACTAAAATAAATTCTGTTGAAACCAAAGAAGACAACAACCTGAACAATGTTCAATAAACAAATTACTTACTTAATAATCTGGATTCATTGACCTGCCATAACAATACAACAAGATTCCATGAATATTGTCAAGTACGATTGTGATACATCAATGACATGTGTACATCAACATTATAATATAGTGTCACATTACTCATATGTAAACTATATACAACACACTTTTCTCATTAAAGTTTAATATATGTGATTACAGGTGGCATATAATCAGAAACAGTCATAACTCATCATAACTTACTAATGCACCTTATGAAGGTTTCTGCCCTAACAATCTTGTCATACACTCGGAACATTATTTAACAACATTATACATATATACATAGCTTGTTTCTATGGAAAGTCACAGTTTGCCCTTCATTCTTTGAATAATTGAGTATTGTACTAGATCTATTTTGACTATGTACAATTTTAGCTTGACTATCAGAAAAATAGAGCTATTGTACTCACACAGGTGTCTGTGGCCACCACACAGATTAGATTTTAACATGCAAGTTGGTATCTTCAGAACTATTGAAGGAAGTAGGTTGAAACTTCAAACACTTATTAAAAGCATAATGGGAGGTTTCTATCCAAGACCTATTACTCTTATTTTATTATGGACTTTGTCAGAATTATGGCTCTTTATAAACTTAGAAAATTAAGTAGTTGAGCACATTATCCTACTAACAGCTCTTGTTAGGTTTAAGGGTTTTATGATCAGTTGAGCAGCCAACAGTGTATAGTCAAGTCAGGCTGATACTCTACCATCTACAGGTGACATAGGCTAGCCCTAAAGTACTCGAAAGAATAAGGAATAGCAATCATGCAATGAATTTTGTTTGTTTGTTCTAATAACATCATATAAACCTTGCAAAGAAGGTCAAGGATCAAGGTTATCTCAGTATACAAGTTTTAAGTATGGTTCATTTGATTGTTTCAAATAATGTAAAATCTGAAAAAGTCAAAGTTAAAACTATCATAAAATTTCATGCATTACTGTCATTTTCTGAATAAATAAAGCATATTTTATCATTTATGCATTAGATGTTTTGCAATGCACAATTAGTATGACACTTTAGGATCAAGGTCACATTCACAACATATTAAGCACCCTATTTCTGAAGTATATATATATAAATAATGAACAATCCTTAAAGTTAATAAGCAATTTAAATGGACTAATCCTTTACTGTACTTGTAGTTTCTGTCGTTCTGGTTTTCAAGACATGATATTTATTGACATATAAAGTTGTTTTATGTCTTACAAAATTACCATTGAGACATAATATTGTATGATATATTATGTATTTGATATTCAGATAACATATATATGTGACTTTTATCCTACTTAAATTTCCATATAGCACCCAGTTGATTTTTCTATATAACCACAGATCAAAGTTTTAAAATTGTACCATGTTTAATCTGAACAAATGAAAAAACATGAAGGAACAAGTGTCAAATTTTTTTAGCATTTTGTCACTTACTAACATGTGCAACTTAAGGGATTGTTTAGGTACATGTAGCGTTTTTAATACTGTTAGTGAAAAATGGTATTTTAGTCCATTAAAATGGTCAATGCATTTTAAGGTCAGTGTCTTGGTATAGGAATGTTTTACCCCTGTATAATTTTGTTATTACAAAAGATCAAGAAATGTTTTGTAAAGACAGAGGGTTTGGAAGATTTTGTTATTACACATAGGTGGCTGGTATATTGACAAATACATTAATAATTTTTACATAAAGTTATTAAATACAAATAAAACAACAAAATTGTTTACTAGTTTTTTACAAATCAAAATAAAACAAATTAGCACAACATGGAATTAACTGCTAATAAAAAACAGCTCCTAGACAACGCCACTCACCAGCGTCCCCAATAATTTAATGAGATCTTTTTGTCAATTTTTGTTATTATACCCCCGCACAACAAAGTTGTAAGGGGGGTATACTGGAATCAGCTTGTCCGTCCGGCTGTCCGGCCGTCCGGCGGTTTTTTCTTGTCAGCCCAATAACTAAACATTCCTTTGACCCACAGTCTTCATATTTGGCATGGAGGTTAGTCATGACGAGAAGATGACCCCTATTGATTTTGAGGTCACCAGGTCAAAGGTCAAGGTCACAGGGGCCTTGACTTCAAAAAGCTTGTCCGCCCAAAACTTAAGATTCCTTTGACCCACACTCTTCCTTCTTGGCATACATGTTAGTCATGACAAGTAGATGACCCTTATTGATTTTGAGGTCACCAGGTCAAAGGTCAAGGTCACAGTGGCCTTGACTTTAAAAAGATTGTCCTCCCAATAACTTATTAAGGATTCCTTTGACCCACAGTCTTTTTATTTGGCATGCAGGTTAGTCATGACGAGTAGATGACCTCTATTGATTTTGAGGTCACCAGGTCAATGTCAAGGTCACAGCCGCCTTGAATTCAAAAAGCTTGTCCGTCCAATAACTTAAGATACCTTTGGATCACAGTCTTCATATTTAGCATGCAGGTTAGTCATGACAAGTAGATGACCCCTATTGATTTTTGAGGTCACCAGGTCAAAGGTCAAGGTCACAGGGGCCTTGACCTCAAAAAGCTTGTCCGCCCAATAACTTAAGATTCCTTTGACCCACAGTCTTCATATTTGGCATGGAGGTTAGTCATGACGAGTAGATAACCCCTATTGATTTTGAGGTAACCAGGTCAATGGTCAAAGTCACAGGGGCCTTGACTTCAAAAAGCTTGTCCGCCAAATTACTTTAGATTTCTTTGACCCACAGTCTTCTGATTTGGCTTGGAGGTTAGTCATGACGAGTAGATGACCTCTATTGATTTTGAGGTCACCAGGTCAAAGGTTAAGGTCACAGGGACTTTGACTTTAAAAAGTTTGTCTGCCCAATAACTTAAGATTCCTTTGACCCACAGTCTTCATATTTGTCATGGAGGTGAGTCATGATTAGTAGATGACCCCTATTGATTTTTTTGGACACTGGGTCAAAGGTCAAGGTCACAGGGGCCTTGGCTATAAAAAGCTTGTCCGTCCAATTACTTAAGATTCCTTTGACCCACAGTCTTCATATTCGGCATGGAGGTTAGTCATGATTACCTCAATTGCTTAAGAATGCCTGTCCACAGTGTACTGATTTTGACATTTTCACATTTGAAGTATGTAGAATACATAACTTAGAATGCACTGGCTCAGATTTGGCAGGGACATTGTCCTTGAGCTCTAAATGGCCACTGTTGATTCTGACAAAGTGGTATGCGGGGGTATTCACGCCATGACAGTGGCGGTTCTAGTTTTTGTACATTTCATTTTAAGGCAAGATGTACATATTCAGAAGAGCCTAAATAGCACATTTGAAGTTTAAAACTACTTCTTTCTTTAGCTAAAGACTCTCATTTGTTAAGACTTGAACTATGTGTATCATTTGTCTAAAATTAACCAATAGTTTCGATTGTTTCTTGGCCTTTAGATTTCACTTATTGCAGTTATAGATCTCGGGGGTTTAGGATATGATAATGATATAACTGACTTGTACACTTCAGGCTCACGCTCAGAGAGAGGAGAGTTACTACACGTTACAGGTTCACCGACATGCTCTAAAAGCAGACAAACATAATCTGTACGAGCATGATCGTGAACATACGAGGCTCCAGCAGATTGGTAGCCTAACTGACTCTATAGATGTTTACGCTTGAATGTAACTATATATACTAACCATTTTACCATTGCTTCTTTAACATTGTTATAATAAACTTCAGCTTATAGGGTATACTGATTTAGGATGCTATGTTAAACAGTGTATATGTGGGTATATATATCATTGCATCACTCAGATTGCAATGCATGCATTATGATAATATCAATTGAATTGCAATTCAAATTCAGAATTGTAAACATGTATTAATTATATGAAATATTTGGAATATTTTATTTTAAAGTTTATTTCACCAAAGTAAGAGTCCTTAAGCATATAAATGAACAGTAAGAAGACAGATGATATAAAACAGATGATTATGCCCCCACAGAGTGGGAGCATATAGCGTTGCACTTGTCCGTCCGTCCGTCCGTATGTACGTCTGTCCGAGCAACCAAATAGGGTTAGGGGGCCATCTAACAGTAAACAGAACAAAAGAGAACAATAGAGTTCATTCCATAACAATAGAATAAGGGGCCATGGCCCTCTATTAAACAAAAGAAAATAACAAAAGAAATGGCCCTTTAGTCCATTTAAGTGGCACGTCCGTCCGTCCGTCTGTCTGTATGTCCCGAAATCTTGTGAACGCAACTCCTCTTAAACCGGATGGCAGATTTTGCTTAAACTTCCAGGGATGAACAACCTTAATGTGTAGATGGTAGTAAAGGAAGGAATTTTCGCTGCGACCAAATTTAACAGAATTATGGCCCTTTGTTGATTGTTTCACTATATACTATGTAGAGATTTTGTGAACGCAACTCCTCTTAAACCGGATGGCAGATTTTGCTTAAACTTCCAGGGATGAACAACCTTAATGTGTAGATGGTAGTAAAGGAAGAAATTTTTGCTGCGACAAAATTTAACAGAATTATGGCCCTTTGTTGATTTTTTCACTATATACCATATAGAAATTTTGTGAACGCACCTCCTCTTAAACCGGATGGCAGATTTTGCTTAAACTTCCAGGGATGAACAACCTTAATGTGTAGATGGTAGTGAAGGAAGAAATTTTTGCTGCGACCAAATTTAACAGAATTATGGCCCTTTGTTGATTTTTTCACTATATACTATATAGAAATTTTGTGAACGCAACTCCTCTTAAACCGGATGGCATATTTTGCTTAAACTACCAGGGATGAACAACCTTAATGTGTAGATGGTAGTAAAGGAAGGAATTTTTGCTGCGACCAAATTTAACAGAATTATGGCCCTTTGTTGATTTTTTCACTTTATACTATATAGAAATTTTGTGGGGGCATCCGTATCCTTTGGACACAGTTCTAGTTTTAATTAGAGGTTTTCATCTCTGCAACTAATCTTTCATTTTGATTTTTTTATACTTGGCACAAAGTTTTATGGGAAGTTGCTGTGGGCTTTCACAATGCTTAGCATTTCATTTTAATCTGAAATGTCAAGGTCATGTATTTGTATACTTTTTCTGATCAACCTTAACTTTTTTACCTGCTACTTTGTAAAGGGATAAAAACTTTCTATTTATGGGAACAGTTACTCAAATCTGCATCAGTTTAAGCATGATCTAGATTGTAGATTATGATCTTTTATTTGAAGGTCAAGGACATCTCCAAAGTTATTTATTTTCAGTTTTTCATCATAGCTAAAAGTTTTTCTCCTTTTAATCATTTGCAGACATACCTCATTTACAGGTCTTGGGCTTTAATATTTGGTTTTCAAAAAGTCTAATTTACATTTCTTTAAACTTAAAATGTGGTTTGCAGCTTTATGTTTATAAATTCTTTTTATATAAAACATATTGTTTTAATTTTTATGGAAAAGGACAGGTTGGATTTAATTGTTTTTTATTTGTGAACATATTTTCTGTGGAACTCGAGATATTTTATATCTTTATTAAGATATTAGGGAAGCATATTGCATATAATTATATGAGTAGAATTTATTATCGGTTTTAGTCCTCTAACATGACTTATTGGTAGACAAATCTATCTTTGTTGTGTTAAAATCTGTAAAAAAGATTTGTACTTCAACAAACATACTAAAGAAATGCATGAGCTTTATTCCTCATAGTGCACCACACAAACAGTAATATAAAGAATAATATACATTATTGTATGCTATTATTATATCATGTGATGTTTTATTTTTTCAGGCACATTCTCAGAGAGAGGAGAGTTATGTGAAGCTTCAGAATCATCGGCAAATGTTAAAATCGGACAAGCACAATCTACAGGAGCATGAACGTGAACATGTTCGCCTTCAACGTGTTGCTAATAAAACAGAAGCTTTGATTGATGTCTACTAAGTCAACATAATTTTATATATATGAAAACTTGCTATTAATGTGACTGTTTTATAAGTTACTGAAATGAAAATAGTAGCCAGTCTTGAAATCAAGCCTTTGCCTTTTGTCAGTGTAAAATTGATCACTTAAGATCTTTGTTTTCTGAAATAATGCATGGAAAAGGGCACCTGATGTCTTCCTCCACCAGAAAACCTGGAAATTCATCATATGACCTATACTGTGCTGGTGCAACATAAAACCCAACCTCAGAAAAAATAAAAATAAAAAATCTTTGTTTACCAATTGTTTTTCTTTATTGCATCAAGGGAGATAAGTGACTTGAAAGTGACAAGATATTGTACCTGGCTTGAAATATGGTTCTATGTTATAAGGAGAGATCTTTTTAACGTTGACAAATGGCTATTTTATGACTGGCTTGCTGTCTTAGTGGCATTATTAAAATGACATAATCAGTATGACAGGGAAACTCTCTTAATTGTGGCAAAACTTTGTTTTAAATTTCAACATAATGACAGGTGCTTGTTTTTTTAATATTTCTTAATACATAACACAGTCTATCTCTTGTAAAATGTGTTAAACAGAATTGAGCCGTGTCACGAAAAACCAACATAATGGGTTTTCAACCAGCTGGATCCAGCCGCCTGGCATCCCCGCAGCATCATCTGCTTGGTTGAATATCGTTTCTCTTGTGATAGGGTTGTAAGCGACAGCAAATGTATCCTATCAGCCTGCGGGGTGATCGCATATCTTGTCAGGGAAACCAATTTTGGTCATTAAACGCATGTTGTTTTGGTTTTGTTTTGTAACATGGTTAAAAATTGTTTTTTCTCTAGAATTTAATATAATTTGTTAATGCAAGCAGCACAATAAAAACATGGACATTTTTTTCGAACTAAAAATTCAATTTGTTTCTCAGCTTTGCCAAATATGCATGAAGATGTGCAGCAATTGTATTAAAATGTTACGGTTGGTTTTATAGCTTTTAAAATGTTCTGCATTTTTGATGTCGCCTTTATTGTGACATTTTATTCACAAATGAAGGTTTAAGTCACACCTACTCACAATCTAATAAAATGATATAATTCGTATTGTATAACTTCTTGAGTGTGAAAAAATTTGTATGTGAATGTAATGTGTCTGATATCTGTGAGACCATGAAAGAAACAAATAGTTTAAAATGATAAAAGTTATGTTTGGAGGTATACAATGCAGGAACTAATGTCACAAAAATGCACATTATATTGTTGTTATTGTTAGACTATATGCTGCCTTATTTTATAATTAAACCAATACATGTATAAGTGGCTGAATCAGCAATTTTATTCTGTGTTTCAGTTAACGTAAAAAAAAAACATCAGTCTATTTGAATGAGACCATATTTTAGGAATACATTTTACATAATCTCATAAAATATTTTATTCTTCTTTTATATTTCGTCATGAATTGCTCCTTATATTCTTACAGATTTATTTGTTAAAGGATGAATTTATGTTATAAAAAAAGAAGAGAAAATATTTTCCCCTGTTAGAATAACATTTTAGTCTGATTTTGATTGCTTTAAACTTTACACAGACTGACGTACACTTTGTTTACCCTGGTTCTATCCAGATAAGATGTCATTAAGTTATAACATGTTTTTATTATTGAAAACTCATGTCAGTATTATGTAATTTTGGTTATCCAAATTTTGTTAGGCATTTGTTGTATAAATATGTTCATGAGGCCTTTTATTGCATAATTTTATAAAAGTCAATATTTGAAATAAGACAAGGTTTTATGTTGCCTAAGAGCTTAGTATTGTCCTCAAGTTATAAGATTAGAAATCTGATCTGTTTGACATGTTTTCAATGATTTCAGTTAAGTGCCTTATATACAATATTATAAAAGGGACATACATACACTCGTTTAAGTACCTTATATACAGCTTTCTGTACATTTCTAGCCACAATAGTAAAATATATCATGAAAAAGTCAGGTTTTCACTTAAAGCGAATCTCTTTTAGTTAACAAAAATAATGCAGGTTTGTTCATTTTGGAAAGTTTTTGATAATATTGAGTAAAATTAATTAAAACTTTCTCTTTCTGCATATTATATTATTGAATATAATAACATTATTTAAAAGAAGTTCAATATGAAATCATTAATTGCAGAGTGATAGATTTTTATTTGAAAGACCTCGAAAGTACATCATGAAAGAGTACTAAAATTGTCATAATTCTGCAAGAATCTATATGTTTATATTTTATTTTGGTTATATATAGCACTTTGCATATTTTTTTACAGAACGTGATGTATGCAAATGCAAGGTGCTATAACCAAAAGAAATATATACATATAGATTCTAGCATGTTGTCTATTTGTCACAGACTTTATAAAACATTTACATTAAAATATTGATTCCACATACTTTCAATATAATTTTGATACTATTACAAAAAATATTCAACAGTGTTTGCTATTAATAATCTCATGTATTTTATGGTTTGATATTTGAAATATTTTTCTGTTTGGTGACATCTTTATAGTTTTCTGCAGATAACCAAAAACTGTTGTAAAATATTGTTTATTGCATGATAAATACTGGTATAACTGTAGATTATTGTAAAGATATTATGTAAGTTTATGATTTAATATTCTACAATCTGATTACATCATATGATATAATATAGCATAATAACTATATATTTACCATGACCACTTTTACATGACATTTTATTGTTAACACCCAAGTTCTCTCCCCCCCCCCCCACACACACACACCACCCTTTTTCCTTCTATTAGCTTGTAGAAAATTTCACTAAGATATAATTCACTAACAATGCAATATCTGGATATACATTACCTATACTGTACTTTAATGGTTAAACTAGCATTTCTATAATATGATATAGTAAAATACCTGGGTTTAACTATGGTAAAGGTTTGTGCTAATGTACTAGTAATGTTCATTGCTGCAACCAGGTCCAATCCTCTACCTTGAATGCTCGATACTTACCAGTAGTCATAGGTCTTATATGACTTTAATATCATTTACACAAAATATAGGTGTGATATACTGAAAAATGATCATTTTTTTAAAGATTTTTCTTTTTTTAAACTATAGGTTTTTTGTATCATTTACTTTTTTACACAAAAGATTTAGCAATGCGGGATATAACTATTTCTTTTTGAAGTTCAATCCTATGAACATTTCTAATATAAAGGTTTTATTAGAGGATATTATTGTCAAACTTATTTCTTTTATTGTACAAATACAAATTACAACAATTACAAAAAAATACTTGGTTTTATTTTCTAACAGATACGTTTTGGTTTTGACAAACATAAATAACATCTGGTTATTACAAGTGAAGGCCGACAAAAACATGTTTTTATTATTCTCTTGTAGATATGACAATTTTCTCTTTATTTGTTACAGTAATTATCTGCCAGTTGTATTTTCTACATTTATTATAGAGTTTTATATATTTAGTTACTTTGTTATTACTATTATTTATTTCTCATTGTGATACACACAACTATTTGTGGTATAAACGTTATATATTGTTACCACCTTTTATTGTTATAACTTTTTGATAGATATAAATTTTATTTACACATTGTTTGTATATGAATGTATTTTAATTTTGCCTTTTATGTGATATTTGTTTCATGTTTGAATGGAGGTATGGACAACAGGAATATTTTGACAAAATTACAGGAATTGTAAAACTATGATAAAACAATTAGATTCATCATTCCCTTCCCAGGATATTTCTGAAAAAAAAAATCAATGTTTTTAATTTTAAATATAATTCAGGTTATGAAATGTTGACTTCTTTTATTTTTCGTCAGTGTAAGTATGAAAATAAATTGACTTACACTTTAATTTCTGGGAAAAAAGAACTATTTTTAAGTAAAGACGGTGTCTTTACTAATATTTACCCTGGTGAAAAACAATTCTAAATATAAAAAATGGACTTTGAATTTAGTTATTTCTATATTCTAGTAAATTGTTCCAAAATAACATATCCAAAACTAGTTTTTATATAACCAGTGTGTCGTAGACAGTATTTTGTATGCTTCAAATACATTTTTACAAGACATTTATATACAGGTCATTATACTTATAAATGATTGACATATGTGTCCTCCCCCTGTGATATAATTGTTATGTATGTGCCTTATTATGGAGTATTTTATACATGATGTAACCATTAATTTGTTCTCATTTATCATCTATATTGTTCTGTTTTTAATATGAAGAGAATAAATCATGAAGTGAAATAAAGTTTTGAAAATATAATGATTTAATTTCTTCTGATTTAATGTCATCATGAACTTTGACCTTCCTTTGCATATGATATTATTCCTCCCCCAAGGAAGGCATATAAAAAATCCACTCTGTCTGTCTGTGGTCTGTCTGTGTGCGTCCCCACTTTATTTGTGTCCAGACTATAACTTTGTCATACATTGAGGGATTTTTGAAATAGCTTGGCACAAAAAAGATGATGTGTCGCATCCAAGAATCACGTCCCTACCTCAAAGGATTTCAAAATAACTAGGCTCAAAGGTCAAGGTCACACTACCATTTTGAAGTTTCATAATATCACAATTGGAGTTAATAGGTACACACATTCGTGTCCGGGCCTTAACTTTGTCATGCATCAAAGGATTTTAGAATAACTTGGCATAAATATCTACCACATCAAGACGATGTGTCGCGTCTAAGAATCACGTCCCTACCTTAAAGGTCAAGGTCACATTAACATTTGAAGTTTCACTTTATCACAATAAGAGTTTATGGGTACATACATTTGTGTCCGGACTGTATATTTGTCATGCATCGAAGGATTTTATAATAACTTGGCATAAATGTCTACCACATCAAGACGATGTTTCGCGTCCAAGAATCAGATGTGTCGCGTCCAAGAATCACGTACCTACCTCAAAGGTCAAGGCCACACTACCATTTTGAAGTTAACTTTATCACAATCACACATTCGTGTCCGACTGTAACTTTGTCATGCATTGAAGAATTTTAAAATAACTATGCATGAAGGTCAACCACATTAAGAAGACATGTCGCGTTCAAGACCACTGTCCCTACAATCAAGGTCAAGGTCACACTTATTGTTTGAAGGTACTCATTCTCTCGAGAAGAGTTTGAAGATACACATTCATGTCCGGACTGTAACTTTGTCATGCATGGAAGGATTTTAAAATAACTTGGCACAAATGTCTACCAAATCAAGACAATGTGTTGCGGCTAAGGCTCATGTCCGTCTGTCCGTGTGTCCCCACTTACACAACAATCATGTCCAGATTGTCAGTTTGTCATGATCTGAAGGATTTTGAAATAATTTGGCATAAATGTCTATCTCATAACATTTTGTCGCGTCCAGGAACCACGTCCCTTCTTCAAAGGTCAAGCCACACATATATTTTGAAGGTTCATGCTTTCACAATTAGAGATTACAGGTACAATAATACAAAGAACAATATTAAACAATTAGGTAATTTCATTCTCTTTTCTTTTCATAATACCTGCGTGCTTAGGAAATCTTTTTGGGGATATTCGTCACTTGCGTGACAGCTCTTGTAATATGTAATAATGTTAATGGTTCGGCCGTGGT